ACACCAGCATCGCCGACCAGCATGTCGAAGGCCTTGTCCAGCTCCTGCACGCGCGCCAGGGCCGCCGCCAGGCCAGAGTCTGCCGCAGCCACCGCGCGCCGCCTCGCAGCCGTGCGCTCGGCCCGCGAGCGCCTCTTCACAAAGGGATCGCCCTCCAGCGGCGACCCCGCCCGCGCCATCTCCTCAAGCAGCTGCACCTGGGCCGGACATGAGCGGAGCCAAATGGCAACCAGGGGGCTTGAGGCCAGCTTGAGCCAAACTGGCTACGGATGAGCACGAGGATGAAGATGTGGACGATGCCGATGCTGATGCTGATGATGATGCTGATGATGCTGATGATGGAGGTGGTGGTGATGATGATGATGGTGATGGTGATGGTGCTGGTGGTGAGGATGTTGATGACTATTATGATGATGCTGATGGTACTCCTGATGATGATGATGATGATGATGATGCTTGTGATGATGATGCTGATGATGCTGCTGATGATGATGAGGATGAGGATGATGATGCCGATGCTGGTGCTGATGGGGATGCTGATGATGATTTTAGTGATGATGATGGTGGTGCTGATGGTAATGGTGGTGAGGATGCTGATGACTATTATGATGATGCTGATGGTACTCATCCTGATAATGATGATGCTGGTGATGCTGATGCTGATGATGATGCTGATGATGATTAGGATGAGGATGATGATGATGCCGATGCTGATGCTGATAGTGATGCTGGTGGTGGTGGTGGTAGTGCTGATGATGCTGGTGATGATGATGGTTGTGAGGATGATGACTATGATGATGCTGATGATGTTGATGATGGTGATGCTGATGCTGCTGATGACGATGAGGATGAGGATGAGGATGATGATACCGATGCTGATGCTGATAGTGATGCTGATGACGATGGTGGTGATGATGAGGATTGTGGTGGTGATGGTGGTGATGGTGATGATGATGACTGATGATGATGCTGATGATGATGCTGATGATCATAATGATGATGCTGATGATGCTGATGAGGATGAGGATGATGCGATTGCTGATTGTGATGGTGAGGATGATGCTGATGATGATGATGATGATGGTGGTGGTGATGATGATGGTGATGGTGATGGTGGTGAGGAGGATGATGACTAAGATGATCGTACTGATGAGGGTGCTGATGATGATGTTGCTGATGATGATGGAGATGCGGATGAGCATGAGGATGAGGATGATGATGCCGATGCTGATGCTGATGGTGATGATGCTGATGATGATGGCGGTAGTGATGATGATGATGATGATGACGGTGATGCTGACGTTGATGTCGGATTATGATGATGGTGATGGTGATGGTGGTGAAGATGGTGTTGACTCTGATGATGATGACGATGATGATAATGGTCATGATGATGATTATGATGATGATGATGATGATGATGATGATGATGATGTCGATGATGCTGATGATGTTGATGCTGACTATGATGATGATTATGATGGCTACTATGATGCTGAGGATGTGGATGAGGTTGAGGATGATGATGTCGATGCTGCTGCTGAACGTGATGCTGATGGTAATTATGATGATGCTGATGATGCTGGTGATGATGATGCTGATGGTGATGGTGAGGATGATGCTGATGACTATGATGATGCTGATGATGGCGATGCTGATGATGATGCTGATGCTGATGATGAGGATGAGAATGACCATGAGGATGAGGATCATGCCGATGCTGATGGTGATGATGCTGATGATGGTGATGATGGAAGTGGTGGTGGTGAGGATGATGATGGTGCTGATGGTGATGGTGGTGAAGATGATGATGCTGATGATGATGGTAATGGCGACGACTCTGATGACGATACTTATGATGATGCTGATGATGATTATGCTGATGCTGATGCTGATGGTGAGGGTGCGGACGAGGATGTGGATGGTTATGAGGATGAGGATCATGATGATGCCGATGATGATGATGCTGATGATGATTATGAGGACGAGGATGAGGATTATGATGATGATGATGCCGATGCTGATGCTGATGCTGATGCTGACGATGGCGAGGGTGATGATGTTGTGGATGATGATGGTGATGGTTTCGGTGATGGTGGTGAGGATGATACTGACTGGTGATGCTGATGCTGATTATGCTGATGATGATGATGATGCTGATGATCAATCCGAGGATGAGGATGAGCATGGGGATGGGGATGAGGGTGAGGATGATGCCGATGCTGATGCTGATGGGGATGCTGATGATGATTGTGGTGGTGATGATGATGAGGGTAATGGTGATGGTGGTGAGGATGATGATGGTTACGCTGGTGATGCTGATGCTGATGCTGTTGATGATGTTGATGCTGATGACGAGGATGAGGATGAGGATGAGGATGACGATGGTGCCGATGCTGATGATCATGATGATGATCATGATGGTGGTGGTGGTTGTTATGAGGATCATGATGGTTACGGTGATAGTGGCGAGGATGATGATGACTATGATGATGCGGATGCTGATGATGATGCTGATGGTTTCGGTGATGGTGGCGAGGATGAGGATGGCTATAATGATGATGATGCTGATGATGATGCTGCTGATGATGATGCTGCTGATGATGATGCTGATGACGCTGCCTATGATAATGATGATAATGAGGATGAGGATGAGGATGATGGTGATGATGTCGACGCTGATGCTGATGCTGATGGTGAGGATGAGGATGATGGTGATGATGCCGATGCTGATGCTGATGCGGATGATCATGCTAATGGTGGTCGTGATGACGATGCTGACGGTGATGGTTGTGAGGATGATGGTGACTATGCTGATGATGATGATGCTGCTGATCAGGATGAGGATTAGGATGATGATGTCGATGCTGATGTTCATGGTGATGCTGATAATGGTGGTGAGGATGCTGATGATGATGATGTTGGAAGTGCTGATGATGATGGCGATGGTGTTGATGATCATGATGACTATCATGATCATGCTGATTACTGGCTATGCTGATGCTGATGATGATGCTGATGATGACGAAGATGAGGATAGGGATGATGATGCTGATGCCTTTGCTGATGCTGCTGGTGATGCTGATGATGCTGAGCATGATAATGGTGGTGATTTTGATGATGGCAATGGTGATGGTGATGGTGGTGAGGATGATGATGATGACCATGATGCTGATGATGATGCTGCTGATGCTGATGATGCTGGTGATGTTGATGGTGATGATGATGATGATGATGATGATGATGATGATGCTGATGATGATGTCGATGCTGATGCCGATGGTGATGCTGACGATGAGGATGATGGTGGTGGTGATGATGATGATTGTGATGGTCAAGGTGGTGAGGCTTATGATGACTATGATGCTGATGATGCTGATAATGAGGATGAGGATGATGATGAGTAGGATGATGATGAGGAGGATGAGGATGAGGGTGATGATGATGATGCCGAGGCTGATATTGATGGTGATGCTGATGATCATGTTGATGATGATGCTGATGTTGATGGTGGTGGTGAGGATGATGATGGTGATGGTGAGGTCGGTGAGGAGGACGATGACTATGATGATGATGATGATGATGATGATGATGATGATGATGATGATGATGATGATGCGGATGATGATGCTGATGATGTTGATGACGATGTTGATGATGATCCTGATGATCGTCAGGATGAGGATGGGGATCAGGATGAGGAGAATGCCGATGCTGATGCTGATGGTGATGCTGATCATGATGATGGTGATGGTGGTGGTGATGATGATGATGATGCTGGTGATGGTGATGGTGGTGAAGATGATGATGGCTATGATGATGCTGATGGTGATGATGATGATGATGATGATGATGATGCTGGTGCTGATGATGAGGATGAGGATGAGGATGAGGATGATGCCGACGCTGATGATGACTATGATGATGATTGTATTGATGATGATGGTGATGGTGGTGGTGATGGTGATGGTGGTGATGACGATGATGACTATGATGACACTGATGAGGATGATGTTGCTGATGATGATGATTATGATGCTGCTTATGACGATGATGAGGATTGGGATGAAGGGTGAGAATGAGGATGATGATGATGATGATGTCGATGCTGATGATGATGGTGATGCCGATGATGGTTTGATGATGATGGTGATCATGATGGTGATTATGATGATGATGATTGTGGTGGTGATTGTGATGGTGGTGCTGGTGATTGTGGAGAGGATGATGATGACTATGATGGTGCTGATGATGATGCTGCTGATGATGATGAGGACGAGGATGAGGATCAGGATGAGGATGATGATGATGATGCCGATGCTGATGCTGATGGTGATGGTGATGATAGGATGATGAGGATGGTGGCATTGATGATGATGGTGATAGTGATGGTGGTGAGGATGATGATGACTATGACGATGATGGTGATAATGCTGCTGATGATGAGGAGGAGGCGGATGGGGATGAGGATGATGATGATGATGCCGATGCTGGTGATGCTGATGATGCTGATGATAATAATGCTGATGGAAGTGGTGGTGATGATGATGGTGATGGTGATGGTGGTGAGGATGATGACTATGATGATGCTGATGGTGATGATGCTGATGATGGTGATGCTGATGATGATGAGGCTGATAATGAGGATTAGCATGATGATGATGACGCCGATGCTGATGCTGATGGTGATGCTGATTATGATGATGATGGTGGTGGTGCTCAGGATGATGATGATGATGATGATGATGATGATGATGATGATGATGATGATGATGATGATGATGATGATGATGATGATGATGATGATGATTGTGATTGTGGTGGTGATGATGATGGTGGTGGTGATGACGATGTTGATGCTTATGCTGATGCTGACGACGCTGACCATGCTGATGGTGATGTTGTTGATGATGATGATGGTGGTGGTGGTGATGATGCTGATGATGGTACTGACGACGGCGACGACGACGAGGACGCCGACGATGGCGCCTTTCCCAGAGGTCGGAGAGCCGCCCCCGGGTCCTGTGGCACCTTTGCGCCCTGCTCGACTCGTCGGGGGCCTCCGTGCCGACCACCGGCGCTGCCTGGTGCTCGCGCCGCCGCCAGCGCCGTCCTTGCCGTTGGGCTCCTCCCCTGGCCATGAAGCAAAGGAGTCCCCCAGGGATATGGTCTGGGCCTCCTAGATGAGGTCGGAGTGGATGGGGTCGGAGGATCGCGCCGCATCGCCGATGCATCGCCGATGTGGCTCGATGCGGAGCCCGATTTTCTCCACGCCGACGTCGCCGATGCATCGCCGACGTCGACGATGCATCTCCGGTGCATCACCGATGCATCGCCGATGCATCGCCGGTGTATCGGCGATGCGGCGCGATCCTCCGACCCCATCCACTCCGACCCCGTCTAGGAGGCCTCTAGATGGGTCCTGGAGATTCTCCGTCGTTTTGGGGCTCGCAAGCCCTCCGCTGCCCCCAACGCGGCATTGGACGAAGAACTGGTCCTGGGGGGAATGGACTCGGTGTCCAGGACCCGCTTCCCTCAGGACCCGCTTACTTTATGCCAATTCTCCCAGCTCTTCCTGCCCTCTCGTTGGCCTTAAACGTGTTTCTGTATTGCTTGGGGCATGACAGGCATTATAGCCCGTGGCGCCCCCCCCCCCCCCCAATAACGTAACGCCCCCCCCCCCCGCGGTGCGCCCCAGGCACTGCCGCCGTGCGCATCGGGATCCGCATAGGCGTCCGCATAGGAATCCGCATAGGGGTCTGGTCCGCAGTTGTCGTCGTCGTCGTGGTCGTCGTCGTGGTCGTCGTCATTGTCGCTCGTCGCTCGTCGCTCGTCGCTCATCGTCGTCGTGCGCGCGGACGCGGCTGGAGCCTGTTTTTTATTCCGGGCCGATGACGGCCGTCATGTGGGGGGGAAGGGGGCCGATGACGTCACGTTTCGCGCCGGCGGCGTATGGGAATGCCTAGGAGTGACCGAGGACGGGTATCAGTGGCATGTAGATGGCGATCTGCACCACAGCGCTTGTGTATATTACAGTGCCTGCGTGCACCACAGCGCCCGCGTACACCACACCGCCTACACAGTACCAGTGTGTGCCACAGTGCCTGCACCACAGCGTTTGTGTACTCCACAGCGCCTGCGTACACCACATCAGCCGTGTCCAACACATCACCGGTGTACACCACAATGCCGACGTGCACTACAGTGCTTGTGTACACCACGGCGCCTGCGTGCTCCGCAGCATCCGCGTGCAACAGAGCACCACTGTTGCACATAGAATGTTGGAAGGAGGCCTTATGACAAAATGGAGCGCCGGTGGTCTCCACTGAAACAGTGGTTTTATATAGGATTTGGAAATGATTCATTCTGGAAAGTGGAGCGCCGCTGGAATCTACAAGTCCCCCCGAGTCCTCCCGCATCATCCTAACTCTTCCCATCTGCGTCCAAGAGGCCCCAGCAAAATTAGCCGTCCGAGAGCCAAATGGACTGATTCAATCGACATCTCTGCGGTTCAATCTGAGATGCGCACGTGCGTTGTAGCGCCGACCCGCGCGACAGGGGGGATGGGTGAGCGAGGAGGAGGAGGAGGAGAAGGAGGAGGAGGAGGAGGAGGAGGAGGAGGAAAAGGAAACGGAGGAGGAGGAGGAGGAGGAAATGGAGGATAACGAGATGGAGGTGGAGGAGGAGGGAAAAGGGAATCACGTCGCGTGGTGTTTAGCTGTTCGCAGCAGGTCCTCACCTACACGCTCCTTCCACTTGTCCTGTGCACGCAGGCAGTGTGGTGTACACCAACGCTGCGTTGCACGTGGATGGTGTGGTGTAGATAGGCGCTGTGATGTGCACAGGCGCTGCGGTGCACGCAAGCATTGTGGTGTACATAGGCGCTGTGTTGCACATTTATGCTGCGGTGTACATAAATTCGCCGTGGTGTACACTGGCGCTGTGGTGCACGCAAACATTGTGATGTACACAGGCGCTGCGCTGCACACGGTTGTCGCGGTGCACGCAGGCGCAATGGTGGACGCGCGCGCTATGATGCACGCGAGCATTGTGGTATATGCAGGCGCTGTGGGGCAGATCGCCACCTATATGATGCTGCTCCTATTTGGCCCCGGTCATCCTTAAGCATTCCTGGGCGGCGCCGGCGCGGAACGTGACGTCATCTGGGGGGGGGGCGGTGCCGATGACGGCCGCTATCCCGGAAAATAATAGGGCTTCTGTGGTGCCGGAGCCACACGGCGGTGGGTGGGGGCGTTACGTACCCCCCCCGCCCCCCCCTCTTTTTCCCTTTCTAACGCCCACTATCGTCCTTCCAGGCAGTTTCGCGAATGTGGGAGCTAGATCGGAGCAATCGCATTAGTAGTAGTAGTAGTAGTAGTAGTAGTAGTAGTAGTAGTAGTAGTAGTAGTAGTAGTAGTAGTAGTAGTGGTAGTAGTAGTAGTAGTAGTAGTAGTAGTAGTAGTAGTAGTAGTAGTAGTAGTAGTAGTAGTAGTAGTAGTAGTAGTAGTAGTAGTAGTAGGTAGTAGTAGTAGTAGTAGTAGTAGTAGTAGTAGTAGTAGTAGTAGTGGTAGGGTAGTAGTGGTAGTGTAGTGGTAGTGGTAGTAGTAGTAGTAGTAGTAGTAGTAGTAGTAGTAGTAGTAGTAGTAGTAGTAGTAGTAGTAGTCGTAGTAGTAGTAGTAGTAGTAGTAGTAGTAGTAGTAGTAGTAGTAGTCGTAGTCGTAGTAGTAGTAGTAGTAGTAGTAGTAGTAGTAGTAGTAGTAGTAGTAGTAGTAGTAGTAGTAGTAGTCGTAGTAGTAGTAGTAGTAGTAGTAGTAGTAGTAGTTGTAGTCGTAGTCGTAGTAGTAGTAGTAGTAGTAGTAGTAGTAGTAGTAGTAGTAGTAGGAAATGTAGTAACAGTAGAATAAGTACTATAAGAAGTAGTCGTCGTAGTAGTAGTAGCAGTAGCAGTAGCAGTAGCAGTAGTAGTAGCAGTAGTAGTAGCAGCAGTAGTTGTAGTAGTGGTAGTGGTAGTGGTAGTGGTAGTGGTAGTGGTAGTGGTAGTGGTAGTAGTAGTAGTAGTAGTAGTAGTAGTAGTAGTAGTAGTAGTAGTAGTAGTAGTAGTAGTAGTAGTAGTAGTAGTAGTAGTAGTAGTAGTAGTAGTAGTAGTAGTAGTAGTAGTAGTAGTAGTAGTAGTAGTAGTAGTAGTAGTAGTAGTAGTAGTAGTAGTAGTAGTAGTAGTAGTCGTAGTAGTAGTAGTCGAAGTCGTCGTCGTAGTCGTAGTAGTAGTCGTAGTCGTAGTCGTAGCCGTAGTAGTAGTCGTAGTCGCAGTAGTGGTCGTAGTAGTCGGAGTCGTGGTAGCAGTAAGCGTAATAGGAGTAGGAGACAACGGCAATGCCTCCACACCTGGGCCCCCAAACGGCCTCCACACCTCGGTTGCTTCTTTTGATACGATTCTCTGTGAACCGAGCGCCTGGGCGTCGCCCAAACGGCCTCACCACTTGCGACTGCTCCCTGGCATTCCTTTAGGTCTTCCTGTAGGGATTATTGAAGGGCTTCCCGTAACGATTCCAATCTGGATTCTTATTGGGATTCCCATAGGGAATCCTATAGGGATTCCCACAGAAATCACGGTAGGAATTTCCACAGGGCCTCCCATAGGGTTTCACATAGGACTTCCCATATGTATTACCAAAGGGATTCCCACAGGGATTGCCATCGGGGTTCCCACTGGGATTTCTATGGGATTTCCCGTCGGATTCGTATGGGAATCCACCCCCAAAGAGCCTCCACACTTCGGTTGCTTCTTTTGATCAGATTCTCTGCGAATCGGGCGGTTGTGCGTAGCCCCAACGGCCTCCACATCTGTGCCTGCTCCCTGGCATTCCGCGAGGTATTCCTGAAGAGATTCTTGGAGGGCTTCCCAGCGACTCCAATGAGGATTTCATTGGGGATTCCTATGAGGAATCCGATAGGGGCTGCCATCGGACCCTCACTAGGAATTCCCACCGGGCGTCCCATACGGTTTCCCATCGGACTTTTCACATGGACTACCACAGAGATTCCTACAGGGATTGCCATCGGGATTCCCATAAGGGTTTCCTATCGGATTCCCCATAGGATTCGTACGGGAATATACCATCAAACGGCCTCCACGCGTCGGTTGCTTCTTTTGGGAAGATTCTCTGTGAACCGCGCGCCTGGGCGTCGCCCAAACGGCCTCCACACCTGGGCCTGCTCTCTGGCATCCCGCTAGGTATTCCTGAAGGGATTCTTGGAGGGCTTCCCATAGCGACTCGAATGGGGATTTTAATTTGGGGTTTCCTATGAGGAGTCCTACAGGGAGTACCATAGGAATCCCAATGGGGATTTCCGCGCGGCCTCCGACAGGGTTTCACATTGGAATTCCCATATTGATTTCCAGAGGGATTCCCACAGGGATTGCCATCGGGATTCCCGTAGGAATTCCGATCGGATTCCCCATAGGATTTGTATGGGAATCCGCCCCCAAACGGCATCCGCACCTCGGTTGTTTCTGGTGATCAGATTCTCTGTGCACCGAGCACTTGGGCGTCGCCCAAACGGCTTCCACACCTACGCCTGCTCCCTGACATGCCGCTAGGTATTCCTGAAGGGATTCTTGTAATGTTTCCCATCGCGATTCCAATCAGGATTCCTATTTGGATTCCTTGGGGAATCCTATAGGGATTACCATAGGAATCACAATATGACTGTCCACACGGCCTCCCATAGGGTTTCACATATGAATTCCCATATGGATTACCACATGTATTTGATTGCCATAGGGGTTCCCGTGGGCATTCCTATAGGACGTCCCGTGGGATTCGCATGGACATCCACTCCCAAACGGCCTCCACACCCCGGTTGCTTCTGTTGACCAGATTATTGGTGATTGGGTTCTCCACAGGAATCGTTCGGGAATCCACCCCCAAACGGCGTCCACACCTCGGTCGTTTCTTTGGGTAAGATCCTCTTTGAACCGAAGGAACCGAGGTGTGGAGGCCGTGTGGGGGGTGTAGTCCCATGCGATTCCTCTGCGAAATCCCATCGGCATCGTTCATTTTTTGCAGCGTTGCTATCAACGTTCCAG